AATGTACAAATTGTTTACTGGTTAATATGTTTCTGCATTTCACTCACTTTCTTACAAAGTACGTTTCATCAACATAGTTTGATTGCTTCGAAACACCTTAAAATTATTTTAGGCAAAATACTATGATATTAGATGAAACAATATCTTATTAATTATCTCATGATATATAATTTTGCCCACAATAGAACAACAGAAATATCAATATGATGTCAAACGAATATTAAACTAATATTAAACTAATATTAATAGAAATGAGTAAAATATGCTGAAATATACTGCATATAAAATTATGCAGAATTTTTCAAAATCAATTCGCTCGAGTTCTTTTTGGTAGCATGTCCTACTGCTTTGGAAATTTAATGCTTGAGTGAAGACCTGTATGAGCAGCAAATATCGAAATTATTTCAAATACGTTTGTCTGAGTGTCTCCTTCTAAGAATTTGTTAGTAACATTCATCAGCAGCTATAAATGACAATATTCGGGTTGCAATAAAACTTGTCAATTCATAGAATTTACTGAAAAATTAGATGGAAAGTAATGTCATTTGGTCAGTCGACGATAATAGTTGATCGCACGGTTTATCTACACAGAGTTGAACGTACCAGCTGTCTTTCATTTTATTACGAAAGTTAGTCGAATAAACGCCACAGTATGTCGCAGCTATTTTGTACAGGAAATTTCAAGGAACACAACAGTAACTTTTCTGATTCTGAAAGACTGGAGTTTATAATATAAGAATTTTGTTTTACTTTTGAATACAGTTTTTTTTAAACCAGTAAAAGTATATTTAAACAGGGCGATTTTTCTCAATTAAAATGAAAAAGAATATAGTTCAATATAAGTGGTATCAGAGATTAAAATAGAAACATTCAATCTATTTTTACGCTAATAACGTGAAATGCAAAATTTAGAGGTTTTTATTTCTTAAACCGTTTTGAAATAAATAAAATAGTGACATAAATCCTCCACTTTCGCGCGAGTTACGGTAAATGGACCAGATATGAAATCTGTACTAATTACGGAGTCTTTTGTATTCACATTTAACGCGTTAGTTGCCACGCGTATTTATGAGGAAATCCCGGTCAGACCACGAAGTAAAAATAAATTCATTAAAATTTTATGGAAGGAAATATTTAAATATATTAACCAGTTAACTGTGGCGATTTTTTTGCAAAGCGCGCACCAGTGTGTGTCGTGATAATCAAGCGATGACGAGTTAGCTCTCAAGAATTTATGAATCCATCTCAAATCATTTACACTTTTTATTTGCTTATTTCATTTCGTGTTGACCTCTAAACATTTTAAACATATTACATTTTACGAATATAATTTAGTTTTCGACAAAATTACAATTTAAATATCAAATTGTAACAAAATTTTACGCATGACGAATATAGTCGTCATGACACAAAATTCTGCCACATCTCCATGACAGATATAGTCGTCAAACACACTTAATTGGTTAATGATACAATCCTGCAATAAATAAAAATGAGGTAAATTTTTAACAAATTTTAGGTAATTACTTGAAACAAGGTAAATTTTTTAGTTTAATATATCTTTCAATATTGTAAATATTCTTCAAAGAATACGCATTGCGCTGTTGATAATGTTGATAGTTTTCATCCAAAATGTTAAAAAATGCTTTTTTAATTATTTCATTTCAGTCAATTATAAACGGTATAGTCTCCGCATAAAACGTATATCGCAGAATGGCCTAACGTAGTAAGAGAACAATAAATTCGACACCTACGAACTTTTTTGTTGTTGTTTTTATGTAACTGTGGGAATACTGTACGGTATTTAAGTTTATCCGTAACAAAGAGTAATCAGTATTCATCATAACCTCGTTTCAAGCTCCAAAAATGAAACTTGCCTCGTGTCTTATCGCCCAACTAATTACATATTTTACTTTTATTAAATTATTCTCCACAAAGTAACAGCATGTAGAATTAAATCGTCATATATCATGAAAACTAATTGAAAGTGCGACATGCGCAGACACTTTAATTCGGCACATAGAATCGTAAACAAACTCCGAAATTGAGGACATCGAAATACATATGCAGAGAATACTCTGCATAAACATCTGTTTCTATTTTATTGAATACTTCGAGAAGATTTAATTTTTTTTGCCTGACAATAATTCCGTTATAAAAGAAAACTATTTAATAACAAATAAGTTAATGTACCAATGGTTAAATAAAGATAACAGTAACAGTAAATTAAACTTTTATTTATAAGCAAGATATTAAAAACAAATGAAAATTTCCTTAATAGTTAGGTGATGTAGTTTGGAATGGAGTTTGGATATTGAAAAGATACTTATTTTCAAAATACTGCAAGTCCATTTAGATATAAAGCCTTTATTTCTTTACTAGCTAAACTACTATCGAATAATATATAGAATATATTGTATATGTTACCGTGAAAGACCGAAATTGGAGAATGTCGACTTTCACCGGTGAATATCAACACATACCAAATACGTCGGTGAAAGATCGAATATTTTATTACATTCTTGTACATTCAGACCCTCACCGGTGTACATGGTGTGTTCCATAAGTAATGCGAAGTATTTTTTTTAAAGGAATTTATTGAACCAATTCTTACAAATACTCAAAATTCTTCAAAGTACTGCCTTTGGGCATCCACACATTTTTGCCAGCGACCCTGCCATAAACGATACGCTTCCTGGAATGCGTTTTCCGGAACCTCTTTTAGGGGGTCGGTCACGGCCGCTTGGATGGCTTGTATCGACGAAAAACGAGTTCATTTCAGGGGTGTCTTGATCCGAGGGAACAAAAAGAAGTCTATCGATGCCAGGTCAGGACTATAGGGGGGTTGGGGAAGCGTTATCACCTTGTTTTGGGTCGGAAACTCACGTACTCGCAGCGCGTTGTGGCAAGGCGCGTTGTCGTGATACAATATCCAAGTACCGGAGATGTGTTTTCTCGTCCTGACGACCCTTTTTCGCAGTCTTTCCAGCATATTCACTTAGTAGGCGGTGTTAACTGTCTGTCCTTCAGGAAAAAATTCTTTATGGATTGACGGCCCTTTTTCGCAGTCTTTCCAGCACATTCACTTAGTAGGCGGTGTTAACTATCTGTTCTTCAGGAAGAAATTCTTTATGGACTGTTTGACGGACTGTTTTTGACGAACTGTTTTGCTGGTTGGTGGTCGCCCAGGGCGTTGATCGTCGCGGACTACTTCGCGCCCTTCCTTAAAGACCTCTAACCACCTCGAAACTTGTAAGTACGACAGAACAGAGTCCCCATAAGCCTCACGAATGATTTTAGTTGTCATCTCAAGAGATTTGTTTAGTTTAGCACAAAAGCTTTATCGCGTATCGTTGTTCCGATCGTCGATTCCATTTTCTCCGTGACACGGTCACCAAACAGGAGGCCACAAAAATTAATGTCCTGTCCCTTTCACAGCTCGGAACGCCTTGGGACCGTGTTCGTTGGAAAGCTAAGGGTCCCCCGCTTCTAACGCGCGTGGTCTGATCCCCCTCCGACCAACAGGAGCGGCTCAGGAATTTCCTTTGCATTACTTATGGAACACACCATGTATGTCGACAATCACAGATATGCTCTGGTGGAGATCCAAAAGACAGGAGCCGACAATGCAAGCTTTGATGATGCGAACAATGTTTTCTTAATCTTTTTTTCCAATACCGTAATTTACACTGAATGGATGCTGCAGTAAATCGTGATCTTTTTACTTCTTACTTTTCAAGAAAAGTACTCTAAAATACTTTCAGAAGTGGTTTCTGCTAAAACTAAGTGCAACACACCTTTGGATTACAGACGATTAAAACGTTTTGACGTTATAAAAATTAATGATGAAAGGAAATTAATTGTACCATTAAAATCACGGGAAACGAATATACAGTATTATGTTACCAATGAAAAATTGTTCAGTATACTATATGAAACTCACGCCAGAATAGGCCACGGAGGAAGAACACGTATGCTTAGAATGTATTTTTTTGTTTTAAATTCTTGGTCACTTCTCTCAGAAAAAGAGGCGAAAAAGTTACGTCACCCTTGTGACGTTTTATAGCGACTGAATTACGGAGAAGAAAATATAAATCTCCGACATGTTCAACATTCACCATTAGTGCATGGTTTTTGTCGACATTTACCGGTGTAAGTCAGAAATAAGGGTATTTAGCAAATATTTCAAAGTCGACATTATCCAGATTTCGGTCTTTCACGGTAACATATACATATAATGAATTTTTCTATTTTTAGTTACTGGTTCTTGGAATAGGGATAAATGATTATATCGAATGGTTTCTTTGGAAATCAAAGCGGACTTTTATTATCTTAAAATTTCTAAACTAAGGTTTATTTTGTCTTGAATTAAATACCTGAAAATCAAAGATACAACATTCAATGTTTATTATTCTCTCCCTATTGTTTCTTTGTTACAATTATAGTTCACCCTCTTTGGTTAATTATTGCACTCGTGTATACCACGTGTATATCGTCGCTTTGGTTAGCTTCTTATCTATTTCGCGGGATAATTCAAATAACCTCAAGAAAGTATAGTGTACTTCCCTTACATACATACAATTTGTTTATCAGTACATATCATATTTTTACATTTATTGAAATTCAAACTCTTAAATATCTCACAAAAATAAAAAATGAACTTGCACCATTCTCGAAATAAATTGCTTAATTATATCTGTGTAGAGCTAATACATGTTGTTATCACATTTTAATTAATTTGAACGTTCCTAATTAGGAAAAGTGTTATTTATATCAAGACTTACGCTGTTAATAATTATCGGAACTCGTTTGAACACTAGGATATTTGCGTTATCAATTTTAATTATGACATTCAGTCAGCAATAATTTTAATTAATTAGATTGGTTTGAAGCTCGTATTTCTTGCCTTACATTGATTGAAATCCGAGATGCCGGCAGAAAAAGTTATCGATCAGTGGAATCAGTCATTCTTAATCGAGTATTCTGCGAATGTGTTACAGAGCAGCTACTGGAGCGAAAACGTCCACAAGACAAAGGACGCAAAGCAACAATCACAGTAACATCAGTGAACTGTTGGACAATCTACTTCGTGGTTACGACAACAGTGTTAGACCAGACTTTGGTGGTCCACCGACCACGGTTGAGGTCGACATCATGGTACGCAGTATGGGTCCGATTTCCGAAGTTGACATGGTTCGTGCATCATATGTACTTACTTTCTTTCTGGTTTCGACTGTTACGTGTGATTCATGAGTGGCAGCTGTTAATTTAATCATCGGGCAGCCGACACCGTGTCACTCATTCCTGCATATGTTTGCACGTCATCGACAATAGTCAGTCATGTATCCGTTGAACACCATTGTCCCACAGTAATCCGTAATAATATATAGTTCTCACGGGGAAATTAGTTCTGAAATTCATTAGTTGCGAACATTTAGAATGTTCCGAAATAGTGGTGAAAAGGGGCCACTGCACAAGAATAACAAAACCAACAGTAGAGAATAAAATTTTCTTATATGCAGCTTCATTTTTAAAAAACTAAATTTATTCATAGCGCACGACATGACAAATGCAACAACTTTTTCGTTAATAAAAGGAACTATTATTTAGGGCAATTATGCTAGGGCAATTATGATTTTTATAGTCTTGAAATATGTTATCATATATTTATATTTTCCATTATATGTTCTCATTAATTTGTATTGACAATCGAACAGTACATTTTGTTACAATTTCTTAAATAATCAATCGATACAAAAGCTATATAAATTTTATCTACCAATTGTAATAAAATATATTTCAGTCATAAAATGTCAAGTACCTCGTGTAGTATTGACATTTTAAGGACTTTGAATTAGTACTTTTAGCAGGACCGATTGGTTGAAAGAACAAATTTAATTTCATTAAAGAATAAAGTGCGAATGTACTTGGGGGGTAGATGGGAACATCTGTATAAGAAATAAGAACATAGGAAGTTAGGACATAGTGTACAATGATTTTTCCTCTTCAATGTTTTTATTTTCGCTTAAAAAAAAAAATAGTAGTCTGTCCCAGTTTCAAGAATCACCCTATTTCTTGTACTTATTTCATATTTCAATACTTATTTTATTCTCACCCTGTTCTGCTAAATAACTTTTCATATTTTCACAGTGTGAATTCAGTTATTGAACAGATTAACTTTTATTTAAACAAATCTACATTTAATGCAGAAATGATGTTGGTTTCTACTTTTAAAGTAGACAATGATATTAAAGAACAATCTATACTTTCCTTTAATTAGTTTCAACCTCTTGTATCATTCGTTGATGCAATTGAACCTTCTGAATTAGAATATTTCTTCCGAAATTTGTATTGTTAGCGAACGAAATAAGTGAAATGTTATATTTTTGCATAAACTCCGTTCATTAAAAAAGACATAACAGTATTTACAATGTTTGAAATTACCTAACTGGAAATAACTTTCTGTTGCAGACTTACTCGATGGATTGCTACTTCCGGCAATCGTGGGTTGATCGACGTTTGGCTTTCCAAGGCGGCAAAGAAACTTTGGCGCTTAGCATATCCATGCTGGCGAAAATCTGGAAACCGGATACATACTTCTACAATGGTAAACAGAGTTATTTACACACGATAACCAGCCCGAATAAGTTTGTCAGGCTCTATAAAGACGGCAGGGTTCTCTACAGCTCCAGGTATGTAACCGTTTTAAAAAAATATATACGAGTATATTTTCAAAAATAATTTACTTGTTGAACATTAACAAACCTTCTTTGTCGGTGGTTATAACAATCACTGTTATGTTAAAAATAAATTACGTTGCTGCATATGTTTTTAATCTTAAACCAATTCAAACTTTCTCTTACCGAATATGTTCAAAATTTCAATAATTTTACTTTTCTATTTATTTTACAATGTTTGATTACTTGTATTATATATTCTTATAAATTATATATGCTACTTCTAATAAATAAGTCAAATTGTCTCTTACAAAAGCACGTAGCTAATCAGATTTGATTTTTTCAATTTTACGTTATTTTAATTTTTATTTCATTTTCGTTTCTCAATTTTTTTCAGTACTTCTCGAGCAAAATGATGTGGCAAGTCAATATGCTTGCTTCTAAACGTGAATGATATGTTATTTGCCAGTCGTTTGGCTATCAGGATGTTTTTATAATAACACTGTTCAGCCGCGAACCTAGACCTTTGCCGCGACTAATTTAGTACAAGGTTCAAGTGGTTCGACGCGTAGACCACAGAGAATAGCTTTATACCTCGAAATACGGGTCACTGAGGACCCTTTTGTCTATCAAGTCCTGTCCGGATCGGCCCTAGCGTAAGCATGTGCTTGTCATAAATCGGCTAATAGCTATACCTTCTTTTTTGAATAATTTCATCAAACGAAAGCATAGATTTTTTGAACTGTCACCCTCTGAAACACGAGGGTGTTCGGACGATTTTGCTATATCAGATACACAGTCGATCGTTAAATCTTGTGCGGGTCAAACTGAGAGTCAAGAAGTTTCGCGTAGAGTAACGTAGAATAACCATAGCAGGGTGGTTCTTGAGATTAATCATAACGCTATTCGAGTGGGACTCTGCACTCCTCGAATAGGCTATTGCAGGGTGGTATCAGAGCAATCACACACCATTCGAGTGGGAGTCTACACTCCTCCAATAGGCCTCTGTAGGGTGGTAAAGATCACATATCGTAACACTGTTTGAGTGGGACCCTACACTCCTCGAATAGATCATCGTGAACAATTCCATGCAATGTGGATTATAACACGAATCTTAACAACATTGAGCGAGACCCTGTGCTCTTTAGTCAATTAACAACAACATTGAGTGAGACCCTGTGCTCCTCAAATCAATTAACAGCATTGAGCGGAGACCCTGTGCTCCTCAAATCAATCAACAATCATACTCCACAACATACACAACGTATACGTAATCATTCACACTTTCACCGTTCAATAACGAACAAATACATATTTTGCAAGGGTTTTTTTTATGCCGCAAGGCTTCTTCCCCTAAATCGAATCGTTCGATCCAATAAATTATCATGATTTCTTAAGCTCAATTCTGTCTAAATAATTTTTATCTACCCTCCTCCTCAATCAAATTCGTTCATTCCTTTGAAACACGAAATTTCTCCATATTGGAAAGACTTCGACGATACAAACACAATGTTTGTGACATTCAGATACTCGATATTCGTAAATTCGTTTAATTTATTATATAGATACGAGGTTACACAGCTATCTACGCCAGCTACTTACCAATTATGTTCGACATTACTGCGCGCTGCACTTCATGTTCGTCGACACATTCGAGAATAGTACATGAACCCACTCCAGTTTTCTTCGCGTTTGACCGGCGATCGTTGATGGGTTTTTTGCAATCTGTGGTTTTGTCACTGTATTTTCAACATCGACGACATGATACTTAAAAGCTTTTTTAATGCTCGTACCCTTAATCGCCGGTATTTTCTTTTTCTAATTCCATTTTTGAAACCCCTTATTCGCTATCATATCTTGACCGTTTCTACTTGGTGCGTCGTTCTTACGACCGTCACTTTCTTCGATGATTTTAATACGAAGAGTTTCCGATAACTCGAAAATTATCGAAACTAGTTAGTAAACAGTACAGGAGTATGACTGTTAACAGATCTTTGTTTATGTGCTCTACCATCTCGCTCAATTTATATGTTGGGTTCTGATATACAACACTTTATTAAGAAGACAAAACGTACAACTCGAATGCGGTTCGCTGAGTACCAAACTATTTCTAATTCTCTTATTCTAAAACTTGTGGGTTTTTAAATACTAGCTTGAGGATGGTAGTGGAAGGGATGGTGGTCAAGGGACAGCGTGACTCAGAATGGTTGCGAGGTCTAGGATGAGTAGGGCTTAGGAATTGTGATTAGTATGTTTGTATAGGGATGAGTCTGTGGAGTGATTTGTATGGGGATGAGTCGGTACTGTTTGTGGAATGATTCTTATAGTTGGTCATACAACATATAGATCATGTCAAAAAATTTCCGAATGTGTTCACGAACGACTTCGCTTTCTCCTATTCGTTACATCAGCTGTTCTAGTGACGTGTCTTTTCACGCGGGTCCTCTCGATTGATATATTTTTTGAAGTTTCATCCATACTTCACGAGACGTTTAACAATTTTTAATTTGTTTCAGCTCGGACGGTCTTATCTATAATATAATGTCCGACCTCGCTTTATTGTCATTTCGCGTCCATTCCTTCATGGCGCTCTCTGATGTAGCGTCACTAGCAATGACATTATTTATTGAAAAAGAGCAGGCAGAGAGTTTTATAACCGAATAAAGAGCAAACACAATATCTTGATGTAAAAACTTTATCTTAACATTTTAACATTGAACGTGTGAATGGCGATTTAGGCGATAGAGAAACAAGAGTGAACTGATTCTAACAAAACTGTTGTCAACGTGCTCATACATTGAAAAAACAATCAAGAGGGTACAATTCGATTATGCAGGAAAACCGTCGTGAATTGCGTTTCCAACATTATTTTTTAGATTTTTTATTTTCACTACTCACGTATGTCCATGCATCATTCTTGATTAATAATGCTTGCATTTGCATTTGCATTTTCTAGGTATCATAATTCTTTTCATTCAGGGAGTCTATCCTTATAATTCCGGAACTTATGATTCACATTGTGACACAACAAATAACCGTTTAACAATTTATCGATCACACTTCAGGATCACTTATTTCCTGTACACTCTACTTTCCGAAATCTTCTGGTTCCATAACCTGTTGCGGGTGAAGATCCGTGGTTGAAGTGACGTGATGCAATATATCAATTCATTAGCCACATCTTCTAAGTTGTCTTTACTAAAGCAAGCACCGGCTATAGGTGTCAGTATTCACTTGTTACCTTTCACCCCCAAAGTTACAAGTCTAGCTAAAGTTTCTTGAGTAATCAGTGCTGATTGCTTCAATGTTAAAACTAAAGTATTAGTAGTGTTAATAGTATAGTTAGCATTCTCTTGTTTGTAAGTGGCTATAAAAATAGTGTATTTAGACTTAATGTCCTTATCATTAAATATAAATTTCCAAACTTTATCGCCAGTACCTTTCTTTACTTTCCTACTTTCTGGACCTACTTCGTATATTACTTTTGAAGTAAACTCCATAGCAAGAAATTTTGAATCCATGATCAGTTCTTTCATATAATCATGACAATGTTTCTTAAATAGTAATTTTAGGTTTTTGGTGAGGTAAAATAAAGTTTTGTTTAAATGTTCAACAAAAACAAATAACAATTTATTAATTAAAGGTAAAATTACGTCGATTATAAGAGCGAGCTTTTGTGCTCGCTCAAGAGTTGCGATTCCGAATGCCACGAGGCCCACGCTCGTTGCTACGCGTACCCCCATAAAACAAAAACGGATCGCCCTGGTGTAACGGTTTTGGGAAAATTCCTATCCCCAAAAGCACGTCGTATGACCGTTGCTATAACGGTCATGGAAAAAACCCACCGATACAAAGTATCTCGATATGCCATAATTCAGACAATATATCGGTACGCCACACCCGAGACGAAGCATCGGTACGCTACATAATTGTAAATCTTTATAATTAAATTCTATCCCAGTGTGAGTATCAGTACTCTCTTGGATTAAATCCAATCATAGTGTACTCCTTTAGCTATACCGTGTATGAACAAAGCAGTTGGCTTAGCACCAGCAATCTTACAGCTACTCATGATTACATATAAAATGATAAAGTTTGCTTATATTAGATAACTGAATATAATGAAACAAACTATACTCAAAAATACAGTGTTCATTCCATATAAGCAAAAATGTCCTTTCCGATATAAGCACAAATGTTATCCCCACCACTGGGGGGAAGACCCCTCGAGACGCCCGAGGTTCGCTCGCCGGGAAATGTAACGTGACCCGGGTATTAGTGTATCCGTGAGACAATACCAATGCAAATATAAAACTTTTTTATTTTTGACTTTTTCGTTATCAAACTTTTACCAATTAATTCTTGACATTTTTCCGATTAAAATGAGACCAAACACGACATAATTTAGACTATATTTACTGGTTTAATTGACGATAAAAGTTTCTCACGTCGAAGAGGATAGCGAGTCAAAAAGAAAGAGACGCTACGATCGTGGCAGTCGGCAAAGATCAAAAGTCTGTTCGATTGTTTGCAATACTTGAGCATTGCTAATTTTTTTATTTTCCATCCATTTCTTTATATAACTTTCTCCATCATATTCGCGACATTTTTCTGATTAAAATGAGACCAAACATGACGTAATTTGAGTTATATTTACTTCCAATATCTTATTAGAGTAAAATCATCGATGTACGCGTAACACTTGAAATTACAAGTAAATATGTCCCGAAGTATGTCGTGTTTGGTCTCATTTTAATGAGAAAAATGTTACAAATATGATGGAAAAAATTTAAACAAAAAAAAATAAAAAATAAAAAAGTTTTATTCTTGTATTAAGAGTGTCCTTCTAGTAGGTCACTGTTTGTTTACGTTCGGTCTCCATCGCTCGAAATGTAGCACCTTTACGATATACGCAAACGGCGACCGTGATATTTTTCTCTTCTGTCCTTTTCTACGTTCGGCAAGACATCAATCAATGTAGGACCTGTACGATATAAGCACAACTTCACTCCCGA